GCAGACAGATGACTTGCCTCGGTGGCGCAGTGGTAGCGTATGCGACTGCTGTGCTGAGGTCTCGGGTTCGATTCCCGGGTCGGACCAAATGTTTGTATGATCTACAAATATTAGTTTCGGGGTTTGGGTGTTTTCTATATATAATATGTATGTGTTTACAAAAAAAATGTATATAAGTATTCTATCAGTCAATCTAGATTTCATAGTACAAGCTCTGCTTAGTTTGAAACTAGATGGCGTTGTGTGTTAGATGTCAAAAAATAAAATAGCTCAAGCAGTTAACAGTCTCATACATGTAACCTGAACTGTGTAAACATGTTCGTACTTAACTTTGAAAATAACGAACTTTCATACAACCGTTCAACCCTTATTTTACACCCTTAGAGGTGGAATTTCACAAAATCATTTCATCATCATCATCATCATCAACAGCCTTTAATAGTCCACTGCTGGACATAAGCCTCTCCTTAGAAAGGAGGTTTTGGCCTACTATACCACGCTTTTTTTTTTTTTCCGTGCGGAAATCCCCTCGGATACCACCTGTCGGTGGCATGTCGGACTCGAACCGACTAAAACCGCAAGCCGTCTGGGGTACTAATAGCCGGGGAACCAGGTATACCCTAGAAAGGAAGTCCCTGGTACCTACTATACCACGCTGGCCAGACGGGCTGGTATAGGGTTTCTTTCAAGTTTTTCTTCTCTCTGTAGTGTTTTTTTTTTGTTGTTGCAGTTGTTGTTCTGCGTAGTGATATTATTACGGGACCCTGGCCTCTTGACGCCACTAATCAAAAATAATAACCTTACAGAATGCCGTCTGATCTCAAACTAGCAGAGCCTGTACTATATTACCTTCAAACCTTCAGACTGCTGATTAACATACTTATATATTTCTATATACCTACATAGATATCATGGATAAAGTACGCTCAGAAACAAAACAAATTATGATCGTGATTATCATAATTATTTTTCCTGGATGGGAATCGAATCCACGTCCTGTATCTGTACTCCACCCAAGACTAACGTTATGGTTTATGGGTGACGTGACGGACGAACGTGACGAATCAAGATTACGGAGTGTCACCACCCCTATTCATCCAATAGGTGTCGTAGGAGTCAAAATTACTCAGGACAACAGCACTGCACAAACTCTGTACCAACTTGTCTGGGCAGCGTGGTGTACTAGGCCAAGGCCTCCTTTATAAGAAGACGCATATGTCCAGAAGTAGACTATTAAAGGCTGTTGATGTGATCTCTTATCCTATGTCCCTCGCCCTTTTCGTATTCATTTCGAAAATTGATCTGCTTCCTTTGTTCTGTAGGAAAGCGAATGCATTAATAAGCTGGGTTGAGGTTAGGCAGGTGGCCAGCCATGAGAGTAAGAGTATTTTTTGTAATGTTATAAATTTCGCCGTCATATTCTATGACGCACGGGATAGTAGACGTAGGCTGGATTTGCTTACTTGTATGTCTGTCTGGTTCAGTTGATGTCCTGTCCTGGAGACAGGACATCAACTGAACTTCTACTACAGTAGTGAATCTGCAAAATTTGTTATTGTCATCAAGTTTACCTATTGAGGGTAAATGAGAATATGGGTCACCATATGATAATGACTTCTTCAGTCTATGGAGATCTGCAACTCAAGAGTACATAGGTACTTCGCAGCTCTTTGGGACCCTCAGAGACCCGGGGGTCTCCGGGGCTGTCAGGTGAGATTGGGACTCCGGTAACTTGACTTACTTGGTGAAAAGCAGCGAAAGAATTACTAAACACCGGTTTTTTGTAAGGCCCTGGCATCACTTCGCTCGAGCCGGCCTATTTGTGTCGAGGTATTCTGTGAATAACAGTGTCAGGACACATTTTTTTAATTATGAATGTTATGCAACTTTGTATTGCATATTGTGTAGCTATTTGTTGTTATTCTGAAAAAAGAAGGTCGGAAGGAAGAATAGGTCTCCCACGATAAATTCATCATCATCATCATCACCCGTTCATCATCATAATCTATTCAATGTTTCTAACAAAGTACAAAGTCACGGTAACAAGTTTATGAAAAAAATAGCCATTTGTATATCGGTGTTAAAGTAATAAACAACTTTATTTACGACCTAAAAGCGTGTCCCACGGCCGCCATTTTGGAAAAATTACTTTTAAACACGTTACCGTTGCTAATTGTATTATTATTACAAGGTGCGAATTAATAAAGCCGGACTATTGTGTATTTTAATTGATTAATAGATCGATATCTTTGATGCTAGTAGTGAAACGACTCGTTGTCGTGATGTGTTGATGTGTGGTGACGCCATTTATATACAATTACAGTCCAATTCCCTCCAAAAATAAAACTACGACAGTTGATAATAGACGTTGAAAAAAAAAACTAAAATTCTGTTGATTTCTTATTTTTCTATAGAGTTTCTAATACAAGGTACAGTATTTTAAATATTTATATTATTATCATTTGTGAATATGTCGTGACTTATTATTATTGTCTGTGACTTGTTATTTCTATTTTACTATTTTATTTTCAATCTACCCATTTGAGGATTGAGGTATTAGTGTTTATATTTTCTAAAGATTTGACTGCACGGATGGCGTAGTGGTTTAAACGGTCGCCACGCCACTTACTACTACGCTGAGTGTTCCACAAATTGTTGTTCTGAGTCTGGGTGTTCTTTGTGTCTGTTTCATGCATGTTTGTAAAGTCCCCCGCGACACAGGATATATTCCTAAAGCGGGAGTTGTCTTTTTAACAAAAAAAAAGACATACATAGATACTAGATAGGATAGTGTTATGTAAACGGTTTAAACGAGGAATGTGTTCATGATTAAAACAGGACACCATTTTTCTTTTACAAAATGTTCCTCAGTCTTATAAGGTAAAGTTAAGTCTAATAAGAAATATTATCATCATATTTAGCCTATCTCAGTTGACTGCTGGACATAAGCCTCTCCAATCGTACGCCACTTAGATCGATCGGCTTCTCGCATGCAGCTCCTGCACAACAAAAAAGACTATACTAGACCACAGTTTCTGCTCTTCTCTTTTTGTTGGAGACGGCATTTCTTAATACTTAGTTCTTTGTTTTTTATTCAGAATTCCGTAGTGTACTGCGTCTTACAAATTATTTCTACGTCACTCTGCAGTAGACTTGTAGAAAATGACAATGACAATTTGTGCATAAAGTTTTAGTAAAATAAAATAAAAAACTATAAGGTCCATAAACTTCCCTTCCACTTCCCCCCTCAGTAGCGACGTGGCGGGCCTGATTTCGTCTTAAGGCAATCAGGCCGCCATCCTATCCCTTACTGCAGCATTCAATCTGCCACCAGAGGTCCCCATTCTCTGGCAGCCCGCGGTTGGTATGGTCGCCGACGTTCCTCTACGCTCGGGATCGGCTTTCTTCCGATCCCGTTCAGCGGTCTCTTTCTGGAGCATTACAGCTTCACAGAAAGAGACCACCCGCCAGCATGGCAGCAATAATTGCTGGCGGGGACAGGTCTCTTCCGATTTGGCCGACCAGGACTATTAGGTCCATAAACTAAGGTGAGAAAGAAATTAACGCAATAAAATGCGTGTATTTTGCAACTTTAATTATGGAAATGACAGCATCGATGACAATTGCGTACACGAATGTTTACAATTCGTCAATTAATGATAAACCCGGCATCAAACGAGCAATTCGTGTTGAAAGGAAGCTTTCATTGCGGCTCATTGCGAATTTCGCAGTTGTGAAACCGGAGCTAGCCGCCGGACAAACGGGGCGCATATTGTACACAACGTGTTTAAACATAAAACTTTGAGTTAAAACTACAACGGTTGTTTTTGTGCTCTCCAATTATGATATATTTTGTAAACAAATATAATAAAGACTTAATGTATGTGTAGTCGTTATTAATTAATTACATTAACGATCATTATATCACTTTTGGTAATTGGCACTCCACCATAGTGCGCTTGTCAAGAAACTTTTTTCCTAACCTGGTCATCTATTTCTAAGTTTTTAAGGTCATTATACATAATGGAAAATAGATAACTCCATATCTCAGAAGTTTTCTAGAACGTTCTAAGTACAAAATCAGACTTCTTTAAAATCGGTTTAGCCGCTTTTGAGTTACAAATTTGTAACTGACCCGCCCTCGCTTTATTCATCAAGATTGATACTAAAGTTACTATATTCACGTCACCAAATATCAATATTAAATAATTGTTATAAGATAAAAATATTACATCATACTAAGTCTCATAAAAATGGCCGAGCCATCTTACCAATAACGGTATTATCAAATCTTTTTTGTCAAAATCCTTATTATTTATTCAAAACAATGGGGGCTCATCCCTCGTAATATTAGCTGGTGTACTCACGGGACGGGGCTAAATAAGGCTTAGAACAATAACGCACTTAAACGTTCTGAATTATATATAGTATTAAACGTCTTCGAGGGTCTGAGTTTCGAAGAAACTGGTTCATATTTAACTATGTGTATAAAGTTGAATATATATTTGTAAAATTATTCATGCGTTGTTTGAGAATATGTATTTATTTGTTATTCTACTTTTACAACAGATAATGGCTATAAGAAATGGTAAAAAGAATGGTCATTTTGCATTCCACAATCGAAAAGTATTTAATGAGGATAGATATGGACGTATGCTTTGTGGAATACAATTTAAAAAATGTTGAACTATCGTTTTTTATTAATATTAATGTTGAGCAGTTCATATTTCAACCTCAAAGTCGATTGATAGAATTCTCTGAATAACATAGTAGCGCTAAGCATACGGTGTCCTTACTGAGTTATTATGTCTGGTTTCCCAGTAGAGAATTAATTTAATTTTTACTATGTTCTTTGTAAAGTCTCAGTTTTCTGAGATTTACGAAACCTAGCAAAATACACTTTGAAATAAAGTCATCTTATTTTTTTGCCACCCTATTAAAATATTTCTTAAAAATTTCGCTTTTGTACCAGGCTCCCAGAAAATGAAAGAGTGATCAAAATGGACTCGCCAGTATCATCCCAAGACGAAAGAGACATCGAGGTCAACGTGGTCTCTGGCGCTAGCAGCCCTGACATCACATCCTCCCCATCTAGAAACGATCAGAAGAGTCCTTTTTATGAACTGAAGAAGGATAAAGAAGAGAAGGCAACAGGAAGTGCTCCGTATACTAGTTTTTCAATCAGTTCGATTCTGAATCGAGCGGAGCCGAGGAGGGAGTCGAATGTTCTAGAAGCTGCTTTAGCCGCCAACCACTTTGGAAGTGCTAATGATGCTATGCTTTCTAGGTGAGTCATCTTTTAACCATCAATTCTTCTAACTCTGACTTGTTCGAACCTTTTTTAATTTAAACTCCTTAATTTATCTGTATAAGTAATATCCCTTTCCCATCATAACTTCCCTTCTTACCAATATTTTATTTTATGTATTTTATTTCCAATTTTCTCATCCGATTCCTAAAGTACCGGTTTTTGGCAATTAGGCTTACCCCTTGTTGAGTAAGTGCAACTCAAATTCCAGTCGGCAAAATCGTTAAATCGATTAATACCTTTCAGCCTTGCTCTCTACGACTTTAAGGATATAGGCGTAAGTATGTATGTAAATGTATGTTGTCCTTTGAAACCAAAAAGTTCAAGAACATAGATCGAATTACACAATGTATTGATTTACTCCCACGGCCACTTTCACTTGATAAGTTATTATGAACGGGATATTTACCATGTTTATTTTCGGGACTTGTTTCCGATATTTCATCTACTTGAACAAACTAATCTACTCTGGAGTTTGATAGATCACTTCTTGTGGAAAGTTATAACCAATTTAACATCACGCCAAGACCTTTAGGAGCACAGCAATGTCCATAAATGGTAGTTAAACTACAGACAGATTTTACTATGAGCCTCATTTCGCAATTCGAGTACATTTCCGACCAAATTTCTTTATCTTTATGTAGATTTAAGACGATAATTAATTTCCGCAATTATGACCAAGAACACAAACATCTCGGGTTCAGCAGTAGACCATTTAACTTGAACACTGGAAGTGGTGAATTAGATTCCGCCTGTGTGCAAATATTTAAAAAACGTTATATTACTCCCGCCATTTTAGATTGCAGTCCGCCATCTTACATACATACGCATAGACTAAGAGAGGAGTGTTTAGTTTAATTCACTAGATATCGTAGTCAGAGTAACTAGCCACTTCTGGTCCGTATAATGTCCCGATCGATCGGTGGTCGACCGCGCGGTTGTGGGTTTAATCTTAGTGCTCTGTTTTAATAGGATAGTAACTCGACTGGATTGTCTACTAGACTATGCGAATGTTCGAACATAATTAAGAATTTTTGTTACGGCATGTTTTTCTTTGGTTGAACCTTAAATAGGTTAAATAAGTTTGTAGTTTAACTACTACAAACCTCATAAATTATAACGTAGTAATAAACCATCAAACGTTCACATATGAGGACTCCTGACTAGGAGGTGGTCTGCATTTCTCGACACAAAAAAAGTAAGTTTTTTTTGGCATGTTCTGAGCGGAGGGGAACAAGACAAAAAAATGTGCAACGAGACTTTTTTCCGACACTTATTGCGGACAGCGTCACTTATTTTACAAGCCGTTTTTAATTTTTATGAATTACTTCACTACAACGTATAATATTTAAATTATAACTACTATATCTTTAATTGATTATTTTAACTTTTTTTTTGTATTTTATTTAATATTTTCATCTATTTAAATTGTTTACACATAAATTACATCTCCTCATGGCTGCATAGAGACTCATAATAAGCATAACCTTTCACAACAACATAAATAAGATAATAACAAAACAATGTCAAACCTGATTTTTGCCAAAAACTGTTGTGTCGAAATTTTCGTAACGAATTTGTGCTCTCCACTTTTAAAGGTAGGTAAACAGACGCACCGTACGGTTTGAATAAGACCAGTTTAGGTAGCTAAGAGTGCAGCAAGTTTGTGGTAATATCCTCCCTAATTAAACTCGCTTCTTAGTGGAGTTAAAGAGTTTCAAATCGTTCGAGATATTATTTATATTGAACTTATAACGATAATAATCAACTTCATTCCTTTTTAAGCTTTCAAGTCTTGTTGTTGTTTGTGTGAGAGGATTTGATTCTTAAGCTGTTTTGGTATTAGCTGGCATTATTTATTTCACTAGCTTTTAAAGTTCTTTGATATATTATTATGTTTGTATACGGGTGTATTAAACGACCATATTTTATATTAATAATAATTAAACCTTCTCATATCTTACACACTGTAGTCTAATCCCAAACTAGGCAGAGTCTGTACTATGGGAACCAGACTACTGATAAACATACTAATTTATTTCTAAGTAGATACATATATATTACAGACAAAGAACACAGACACAGAACAAATGATACAATCATTTTGCCTGGGTAGGAATCGAACCCACGATCTTTAGCTTAGCAGTCAGGGCTAATAACCGTAACACCAACAGGCCAGTCAAATCCGGCACTTTAAGGATTAGATGAGAAAATATTGAAAGGAAAAATACATAAGAAGGGAAGGGAAAGTAGAAAAGCGATGTTTCGGATGGGGTTGAGGAGGTAAGAGAGCGTTCGAGCTAGTCAGAGTCATATTCCTGTTTATCGATTGGCTTCTGTCGGCAAATCAGATCTCTCTAGCCCCTATAGCCGTTCATTCTCGTAAATATACATAATTTAAGCCTTTAATTTTTTTTTAGGCTTTTGTTTTTAGGGTCCCATACAAAGGGTAAAATGGGAACCTATTACTACGACTCCGTTGTCTGTCCGTTTGTCACCAGGCTGTATCTCATGAACCGTGATAGTTAGACGGTTGAAATTTTCACAGATGATGTATTTATGTTACTGCTATAACAACAAATACTAAAAACAGAATAAAATAAATATTTAAGCTTGGCTCCCATACAACAAACGTGATTTTTTTTGCTCGATTGTGATAACGGCAACAGGTAGACGCTTGAAATATTAACAGAATGTTTAGTTATATATTCACTTTAAAAATAAATAATTAAATTAAAATAAAACAAATATTTAAGGGGGGCTCCCATACAACAAACGTGTTTTTTTATAGATAATTTTACGGAACCCTTCGTGCTCGAGACCGATCCGCACTTGGCCGGTTTTTGATGTTAAACACTGCAAACAGCTAAATTTATTTGTATCTTTATCTAGATATATTTGTATATAGGTATATGGATTGCTAATTCAGCCATTTATTAGCTTCAAGAAAATTATATGAAAAGAAAATCATAGGAAATTATTAATAATCAATTGATTCCAATTAACGATTAATCGATAAAATTAACTAAAACCTGTATACCTGGTCAAAAAATAAAACAAAAGTAGACGTTTAGTATAAAAATGATTACAAGTAAAATGATAAACACAAACGAATCAAATATTAAAACTGACTTCCTAGTCTATGGTTGGGCCATTTTTTGTGCCTAAAACAAAAAAACCAGTCTCCTATTATTTTGTATATTTAAATTATTCTCATCGAAAAATTGCAAATCACTTCAAATCAGCCACAAGTTAAATAAAACCTAATTAAATTACATTTCAAAAGCACCATTTTGTCAGAACATTGTAACTTTGTTTACGAAACGTAAGCAACGTCCCGTGTCATGTCAGACAACGTCCATCTAAGGGTAATTTGTCCATTTACCCTATCCGTTACCCCATTTGGTAGGCTTAAGGGGTGTTGGAGATAAAAGGGGAAGATCCGTGTAAGACAGTTGATTAGATGGGGTGATGTTGGGGGGATTATAAGGCTTCTTTGAGTTTTATGTTTGTTTGGCTTGTTTCGGGTAATGATGTGAGCTTGTGTTAAATAAATGTAGTTTTGGAGTAAGATTGGTTACGTTGATTTGTTTTTGAAAATGTGTTTATATGATTCAATAATTAGTGCAGTCATTTAATGTAATTTAATAGACTCTCCAGTAAGTAACCAATCAGTCACTTTTTGTTTAGCTGTGATGGTTTTCTGTAGATAAAATATAGCGTATCTATTATAATATACGTACGTAATCAAATTAATCATCAATTTGTTTTGAATCATTTATAGACTAGAATGGCAAAACCAGCATTCAACAGTGACCGATCGAGGCATTCTCTATTGAATGCTAATCTTTTAAAAGGAATCAATCGGACTAATACTGGCCATAGCCTTCTACTTATCGCTCAACGTGACAAAACCAAAAGCATACCCTTCACTTGGACAATCGGCACTCCACTACGGTTCGGTTTAAAATATATTTTTGCCTTGCACAACTAGTCTGTGGAATAATTCTCGCCTGCGGTATTTCTACACCAATATGACCTATAAGCCAAAAGTAAAAAAAATCTTTTTACATCAGAGGTTGGTAACACTCTCTTGAGTTACAGTTGGTAATGGTCTGCGGTACTCACTCACCGCCATATTCGCATTTAAACACGCTTACAAATTTAAGTTAAACAAACTATGTAACAGTTCAGACTGTTTTCCCATATCAACGTATTTTTTTTTAATGATAGTGGGGGTCTCGTCTGCAGACACCTGATGGAAAGTGACCATCGCCGCCCATAAACGTCTGCAACTCAGGAGTCACAAACGCGTTGTCGGCCTTTTAGGAAGGAGTAAGCTCTTTTCTTGAAGGTTGTAAATACGGCGGACGATAACTCTTTCCACAGATTGGTTGTGCGAGGCAAAAAGTGTCCCGAAAAGCGCACAGTAGTTGAGGGCAAAATAATTTAAGTTTATACATCTAAGAATTAAGAAACATCTATTCTATTCTAAACATCGGCTATTTGTCTTTCTGATTTCTTAATAAATAAATTATCTCCCTAGTGGCTTTCAATTTTATAGTTTTCAATTTCGTAGTGGTATTAAAACCTTCGTAAAAGTATAAATTTGAAACTAATTAATTTGTTATGTAACATAAAAAATGAAATTGATCTGACAACGGTTTTCCAAAAATGTTTATGTTACTCTTGTCAGATAAATTCCAAATTTTTCATTATCTTTAGAAAAAAAGACAATAACATGCAAATTACTTCTAATTACAGCCTTTAAATATACACACATAAAGTTTTTAATTCAGATTTTAGTATTATTTTGTGTTGAATCCGAATTTTAATAATCTTTAAATCACGACAGTAAGTATTTCTTGTCTACGTTCAAATTTACAAAAGACTTCAAAATTCGTTACACCTAGTAAAAGGAAAATAAAAAAATGTCGTCCCTTATCCCGACGTAACCGCCTATCTTAACATTTGTTACA